TTTAGGACTCTCTTATAACAAACGAACAGCTTATAAAACATTTAGTTGCAGCTTTATTTTTAGATACGATTATTACTTCGATATCTTACGACTCTTTAAGCACTTTCCTCATTACATGTAGTCTTATCACATACAACTATGTATGACTAAATACATTTTTGTAACTTATTACATCTATCCATACAAATAATATTTTTCCTCTTTCTCTTGTTTGCGATAAAAGTTTACAAAGTGTACTACGAATCTCGTGAAAAAAATTACCGTCAAATTTTTTTTCATCTTTGCAATACCGGTTGCAAATAAATACAGTCTACCGATAAAGAATAATGAAATCAAGTTACATTGATTCTTCCTCATAGTTCTCATATCTCAAACCCACTCTTGTTGCAGTCATTAGCGGCCTAGCTTGAGACCCGAGTCGCATAGTATCAAATGTAATGGCTTCAAGGTTTCAAGCAGAGCTACACTCATTGATTTATTTTGTATGATACAAATCGTTGATGTTTTCGTAAAAATGCAGTAACGGTATGCACATCTGTTACGCTTCTGTGGAGACATTGATTTTTATTCTCACGTTCATATTGAGAAAAAAAAACAGCGCGACGCACAGATTGAAAAGTAGTATTCTTCTTCGACTGATAGTCAACTACCCGCGAGCAAAGAACTTTGTTGCACAGTAGAAGCTTTTCTTAATGTCATGAATGGTAATAAACAATTTTCGTGAATAGCGTCAAGCGTTTTATATCTTCCGATTTGTTGTAATGTTACATTCTCAAACAGTTTTTCTTTTTCTGTCTTTCTTTTTTACAAAATTTATTTAATAATATTCGTTCGGTTCATTGTTAACTTCACAGTTTCTTCTTTATAGATCATATACCAATATTAGACACACATGAAGTCAAGATTATTCGTGATTTGTAAATTGAAGCACCTGTATTTTCGGAGGCAAGCTCGAACGACAAGACAATCGGCTTTTCATTGATGTTTGGATTCTGATGTTTAGGAAACTTAAAAATTTATTATACAAAATACATAACTACAAGAAATGAAACAAGTAACAGAGGAGTGCAGGACATAATTATCCGAAATTAATTTTAAAGAGTTTCAACTTCAAACATCATAGAATCTTGTTTCACATAATAATACTACACTGCACATTGTAAAAAGAATACGACGCTTATGGAAAATATTTGTTCCTTTTTCACGGTATTTCACTTTATCTGTATTTAGCCGAATGCTTCACGTTTCATTTAAAAAGCTGACAACGAATATACATCTATTCTTGAGAAGCCGATTCGTGAACTAAAAACTAAATAAAATAATGTTTTACGAAACGAAAAATATAAAAATTTTGTATTAGCTGACATAAATACTGATATTTTTCAATAAAGCAAAATATATATAAATATATATATGTATATGCGAATGATTTTAATTGTAGTAATATTTAAAGAAAAGAGTAGAATATACACTGACACATTGAAAGGAACCAAATTTTTTAGAATATTCATTATCTCTTCAAATTAATTGTATTTGTTAAATACAAGAAAAATATATGCTATTTTACTTTGAATATATTTCATAATAAATCTATGTGTACGTGGGGATTATTAGAAAAGTGAAGCCTAAACAAATGCGATGTGTGACATTTTGTTTAATTTACAAAATTCTTCCATATGACTTGCAATGTATCATATATATCTATATTTCTATATATCTATATATAGTAATAATAGCATTATCATACAATTTTATGCAGATAAAAACACACATATACGTGTAACATTCTCTAAATTTGTTGAAACAATACTATTTTATGCATAATATGTTCTAGGTATCTTCGAATTAACGTATTTTAGAAAACAGTATGTTATGTATCATCAAATTTAGTTCTGTAGCAACCGACTATTGATTAATAATTATAACCCAATCAGATTTATAATACAATCAATGTAACCGTTACAAATAATAATTATCTTAGTAAAATCTTATGTATATATATATGTATATATAAATATGCACCTGAATGTTATTTCTGTAAACAATGAATACGGTACACAGTGTATGGTTATATTCCGTCATCATCGAATAATTTTAGTGTATTTTTTAAAAATTTGTAATAAGTTCTTATTAAATATCGACATAAAAATTATTTTTATTACATTAAATAGTATTGTTCAGCACACACTCACTTGTTACCCACAACAGAAGTTTTAATCCTATTAAAACCGCATAACAGACAAACAATTACCACGTTTCGGGCTTACCTCCTTAACAAGAATGTTATATTGTAATCTTGGCTTTAAAAAGTATATAATATTGTATATCCGTTTCAGTCATGGTACATTTTGGGGAAATTGTAGATCAAAAGATACGATAGTCTCTGTAACAGAATGTTTCTCATTGAGATGTGCAGGAAGAAAATAACGAAGACGACTGATAATTCAGTCCTGCATTTCTTCTGGTATTTCATGAGGATTAAGTATTCCTGGAACTGCCATTTGTTGCCGTCTTTTCTCTTCCTGAGCCATCCGCAAAGCAGTTTCTCGCTCTTCTAAATAGAGATCAGAGTCGTCTTCGCCAGTGTATTCCTGTAAAAACGAACGAAATATATGAAATAAATTTACCTTTTTTTCCCCAACACAATTGGAAAATAATAATAAAGAAAAAACCTTATCAACACTTACTCTAATTTGAACAAGAAAATCTCTAAGATGTTCTTTGAATGCAGGGATATCTTGGTCAAGATTAAATAAACCTTGTACAGTGATTTTTATCTGATTATCAGTCAAATGTGGGAATGCTGCTTTAAGCAATCTTGCAACAAATTCTTGAACGTATAATACATTATCTGGTACAGGTCCTAGTGGTACCTGAATTCGCCCAAGTTCAACCAATGAAAACATATATGCCAGGATAGTGGCATGCATTGTAAGGCCTATATATTCATATGAATAAATTAGTCGCTTAAAGACTACAAGAATATTCAGCTCACAATTTATTATCTTTAATAAAAATTGTTATATTTACCCGCTATATGAGATGTATCTGTAACTACACTAAATATATGTTGAAGAATATCTGTGAAATATGTTCGGTAGAAACTTTGAGCTGCCGGCTCGGTTTCAACATTTTGTAGAAGTTGATAAAGTATTTGTAACCCTGTGTCTGCAACATTTCTCATCGTGTGTTTGAAAGCCCAAATTATAGAATCGAGAACAAGTTTGAATTGTGCTGGCGGGATTACAAGAAATGCAGGAAAACAATATACATTTACAGCCTGAAATAAGGGAAAAATAAAGTATTGCTACATCTGCGCTTCTGTAAAAAGAAGAAGATAATAATGATTAGTGTTTTACATAGGTACCTGTAAAAGTAAAAAGAAATTCGTTCTATGTTCTGGGAATTCTTCAAAATCTTTGTTAATCATTTCTAAAGTACACTCGAATACAGCATCAAATATCTTCGGTACTTCAGAGGTAATGTGACCTTCTAATTTATTTACGATGGTGGCCATCGCACTCAATACCTCTGGTTCTCGAGCACAATGAACATCTGTTTTTTGGTAATCCAATAATACTGCGTCTAGCAGTGGTGGTATAAAGTTTTCTAAAACCTATGATCATCGGTAACAAATTAATCTTGGAAAAATGATGATATTTTAGCAAATGTGATATAAAATTTACCATTTGTCGGTCGGTTGTCCTACTGACCCAATCTGAGATCAATTTCAATGTTTCTTTTTTAACTACTCTCATACTTTTAATTAAAGATTGTTCCATTACTATTTCACCATTCAGCGCTATTGCAGCACTTATGTTTTCACTCATAACCTACAAAATGGGCAACATTTATTTATTTATATATATTATATATATATATATATATGAAAATATCACATATAATATTATACAGTTATAAAATCACCTTATAAACGTTCAACATATCTAAATATATTCTTCCTAATTGTATCACGTATGGATGCCCGAGAGCTTTACAAGCCCTAACATTTGTTTTTAAAATGCTACCAAGTTGTTTTACAGCTTCTTGGTCTTTCAATATATCTACATTCTAAAAAATAACGATTTTTCATTAAACAAACAAAGCTTGAGAAACTGCAGAGAAACGTATCGCGCATATTACTTACTTTAGATGCTTGACTTATAATATCATCCCAAACTTGATTTGGTAGAAGCATATATTTTTCTATCAATTGTTCTTGAATTACTGTGTCTGTCTGTGCACTTATCATATAACCAACTGCTTCATAGAAGGTATGTACCTACATTTCAATTAAACAAAGATTTGGTAACAAGTATCTTCGAACTATGTAAATGTTTGTCTTTGCTAATCTTTTTTTATTTTACCTGTTGTGTTTGAAGGTCACATATGATACTACTAATGGTGGAAAGAATTTCTTCAATAAATGGTACTGATTCGCCTAACTGTACTGTTACAAAATGTCGCCTGCACTTTAATGCTATTTTTATAAATGTGTCACAGGCCATATCTTGCACACCATCATGTGTTTCTATAACAAATATTTATTAGTACCTTGAAACATGTTTAACACATTCAGTGCTGCGTGTACCAAATTCGGTACACTGTAAAATTCATTTCATAGTGTGAAAGTGATGTTTACATCGTCGATAAATATATTACAGAGAAACAATTATTAATATCGCTATTACATGCAAACAAAATTAATTTTGACTACACTTTTGCATTGCATTTTCTAACTTTAATATTTATCGTATTGATAAATAAATATTCAATTCACGAAGAGCTAAAAAATATATAATTCTTACATATTTATTAAACTCTTTACCGTACACCAGTTTAGGTACACGCGATGTTTTATGACTCTTTATTCAAAACTGGCTCAGCACTGAACGTGTTAACAGAAACAAAAATGCTGACTTTTGTAAC